GGTTGCTTGGCTCTCCTGGGGGGAGCTGGCGTGGCTCACTTGTTTGAGAGGGTTAATGAAGTCATGCTTAAATGTTAGACTTTTGGCTGACATCTTTTCTTTGTTAAAAAAAATAAAAAGGAAGGAGAGAAAGAGACCGGGGGAGAGGAGAGAAAGAGAGAGAAGCCTTCTGGTGAAGGCTGGGTAATAAATTACAGAAGCAGTTCTTGGGCTGCCAATTTAACGCCATCCATCAAATTCTGGCCACCATCCAAGTGCTCGCTGCGGGGGGATGTCAGGCCAGAGCGACCACCTTTTCAAATACTGGAAATGAAATCTTCCTAACGCCGAGCTACCCCGTCGCTGCCAGAAACAATAATTTATTCCCATATGAAAGGGCAGGATCAGGAGGGGACGGCTGCAGAAGTCAGACTCCCGGGCTGGCTACAGCCAGGGCTGACACTGTTCTGCACTAAGCCCCCGAGCCACCAAAGCGTAGCTGCTTCTTCCCCACCCCGTCCCCACATGCTGCCATCTCCACTCGTCCTCGCCTGCCACATTGCACTTTGTGGCCAGCTGTTTTAAACTTGGTGCCAGCCTGGCCCTGGTCCTGTTTGCCATGAAAGTGAAGGATTTAGGAGGTCGACACTGCAGTAAAAATGATGGAAGGGATGAAAAGTAATGGCCCTCTGCTGCCATTTTCTCCTCTTGTATCTTGTGTTACTGGGGCCCGAAGAGAGATAGGAAGGTGTGATTTCTAGGGCTGTTGGAAGGGCTCACGCATGGATAAAGGCACTGTCATAAGGGAGTGTGGTACAGTGGTTAGCGTAGCAGAATTGGACTCCTGGGTTCTATTCTCCGTGCTGGCAGGGAGCGTGCGAGAGCTGGGTGTCTTGCATTGGCTACTTTCAGCTCTGACCCGGACCTGTTGTGCACCGCATGGTGCGTCACTTCACCCTTCCCTGTCTCAGCTTGCCCATCTACATTGGGAATACAATACTCACCTTGATCCCAGGGCTGCCGTGGGACCTAGACAACTGCTTGCAAAGCACTTTGACATGCTAGGATGAAAGGCACTAGAAAAGTACAACATAGGATTACAGAGCAGACAGGGAACAACAGCTGTGCTGGAGTGGAGCAGGGTCTCGCCCCAGGACTCTGACGGGAGGTGGGGGAGAGGTCAATGCCTGGTTGTCTTGTTCTCTTGTGGGTTTTTTTTGCTATAAATTCAGATTTTCCACCCAAGTGATAATTGACCCAGGTCTGTCAGGCTCTCAGATGGGAGGATAGAGAGTCCAGCACTCCAAGCCCGGCTATCACAACCTCTCATCTGTACATCATATTCCCTCCTGTTACCATAAGGCAGCTGCTGGTGGAGACGCCTGCATTTAAAAGGATCTTCTCCTGCTGCTGCTGTCAGCAGGGCCCCGTTACTTGCTTTAAGAAAAGGAGGGGCTTAAAGCCCCATGCTGATGTCACATCCTGACCTGATGAGCACGGGGGTGGGGACAATTTAACCATGTCTATTTCCTCCACCTCCCTCTGAGAGTCAGACAGTCGCGATGGCCACAACAACCCCCAAAAATCCAGGCAGCTGTTAAAAGAAGAGCCTGTGACATAAAGCATCATCACTGCACAACACGAGCCCAGGAAGGATCGAACGAAGGCATAGTAGCATCAGGCCTTTATTGGTCTAGACAGATTCTTCTCTTTAGTTGGAACAAATTGTTGCTGTAAATTTGGAGAAAGCGTCTCTTTTTGCGTGTGTTGGGGTTATATGGGGTTTGTTAGAGGAGACTAGCAGGATGAAGCAAACCAGGAGCCAAGTCCTGACCACAGCAAGTCCTGGTCTAGGGCCACCTATGAGCTAAGTTTTTTAATGTCTCCTTAATGTAAACCTTCTGTTTGAGACATCTGGTTGTCAGTGTGTCTTCTCGCGAGCAGCTGTTTGCAGTAACCTGTGGCTTTCATGGAAACTGGGCTCTCGAGGACTCCAGCATGATGTATTTATTACACAGAGGCAATAGACTCCCCTCTTGTCACTAAGTTTTATGAGTGAACATTTACGGTGGATCTGAGGCTCATCTGATAAACATTTCAAGGTATGAAAATGAATGACCTCCTGGGAACAAGAACAGCCTGTCAATTAAAAACTCATTACGAGATGTTCCCTTGGAAAATCCTCAGTCGCCTCTCCCGCTGTCGGGGGCTCCCTCGCTGTCAGAGCAACCTGAGAAATGAGGCTGGAGGACAGACCTTCGTTCTTGTCAAGAGGCTAGAACTGCTTGCAAGCGGCAGGGGTATTTTTAGAAGCTTCCCCATGGAGCGGAGATGCTGGTTACTCAGATGCACGAGGGGCTGCTGAAAGTTCAACCGGAGATCCCTGCCTCGGTGTGGAAGGACAACTGCGGAATCCATGGATGTCTCTAGACATTGCTTTCTGTATAACGGTGCGTCAAGGACACACTGGAGAGCACTTTCCAAATCTCCTTGCTGGACATGGAGAGAGAAGTTTGCCTGGCTTGTATTTTCCTGCTGGATAATGCCCTCAAATAGGTGCATCGTCACTCAGCTTCCAGAGATGCCCAAGTAACAGAGGGAGTTACCAGGGAAACATAAAGAAAGCCGACGGTCCCATGGATTTGTACAGAGAGGGACGACTTGAAATGAGAAACAACTTGCAGTGCCATCAAGGAGAGGGGGAAAGAGTGGCTTCACATCAGAGGTTAATGAGCTATCAAAAAAATTATGACCAAGGTCACCTCTGTAGGAGGGCCAGTCTCAGGCTAACTTGGATTTATGTCTAGGAGGGTCGTAAATTGTTGCAAGAAATTGTGGCATGGAGTCAGGAATGGATCCCTGCTTGTGCCCAATATGCAGGGTGGGCAAAAAAAAAAGTATAATCTATTGGTATTATGTGTTTATTGTGGTTAATTGCTCCCCCCACCATCTGTACCTCCCAATTCTCTCTCTCTCTCTGTTTCTTTCTAGCACTCAGAGAAAAGGTCATTTCTGAAACAGACTGCTGACAACATGGCATTTGTAAAACATCTCTAAGCATGTTGGCCGAATCTAGAATCCTGAGGGAGCTTCATGACACTTGCTGAATGTTCTTTGTGAGGAGTTATAGTAGCAGCTCATGACCGGTGGCCAAAAGGTCATAATAAGACACCTTGTCCAGGAAACAACCCATCTTACTCTCCCAGTGCTCTGACACGGCATACTCCATGTATGCTCTATTCCACAGTTGTAGTCTCTCTGAACCTGCATGTTCACCAGTAATCTACATTTGCAAATACCCCAAAATGATATTGGGGGGGGGGCTGTTACTGCTGGAACCGTTGTTCTTCATAATCTCAGAGTTATCCAGCTGCTAATCCCCATTCTCAGCATGGAATTAAGGATAAGGGAACACGGGTTTGTAACATACATTTTCTTCCATAGCCTGGACATGCTTCAGTTTGCAGCATGGTTTTAGTGTGCACTGCATTTAGAATTTGGGCAGGCCACTGTAATGCCATTTTATTGTTTTGGGTGGAAGGGAGAGAAATCTAAGCTCTTTAAGAGTATTTATAACTTGTAAAGTGCCCAGTAACCATGGTGAGGGGCAACGTATCAATATGTCACATTAGGCTGATTAGACAGACAGACTATACATCTCTTCTGTCTGTCTCTTCATCAATCAGATGAGAGAGAGAGAGAGAGGATTAATTCACCGGGGAGTTAGGAGATATTGTGCTGCAAAGTCACAGTCTAGCACATGCTGATAATTCATTCACCAAACCCTAAGGAGATATCACCAGGGTAGAACTACAGATTAAAAAAAAAAATCTGCTGGTTGTGTGACACGTAAGCAAATGGAAGTTTTATCTCCACTCTCTCATGGTGTCAAGACAGTTTTTGCATGTGAACCTTCTCCCCTGCCCCTTAAATAAACAAAAGCTACACGAGGCCCTCATGTCTTGTGCCTCCAAAATAAAGGGGAAGGGGGAAGAGCCTTTTTAAGGCCTTCACATCTGTAGTGGGCTGGTGGGCTATAGCTGGGTTAATGGTTTAGATGAAGCTGCAGCTCCAGCATTCACTTTAGCCTCAGTTCATTTTACTGCTGTTAAAAACCAGAACACAAACCAAGATGATCACTGTGGGACAGCCACCTTCACTCCGGAGATCTCAGAACAATAGGACAGGCTCTAAGTGGTAAACTTCTCAAGAACACACGCCATAGAGCTGGGTAGGGATTTTCAAACAAATGTGTTCGTTAGTCCAAAAATGCTGAATTGTCAAAATCCCAAAGAGGCTTCCTCTGACAGTGCCCCAGTATGGTGCTCTGCTGCTCGAGCTGCCCTCCCTCATCCCCTGGACTTTTTCTACCTACCAACGCTACAGCTGTTAGAGGATGTGCTGATTGAGGCAGAGTCCTTTATCCCTCTGGATACATCCTTAGGGTAAACTGTCCCTTTATGATTCTAGTACTTAGCTCTCCAAACACCTGATACAATGCACCTCAGTCCTAATTTGCATCACTCTCTGTACTTCCACATTGATTCATTCATCTAACCAGTGTATACCGTGATAATGCTGAAAATATCAGAGCCCATTTGAATCCTGGAGGAGTAACAGTCTCTGCCACGAAGACTCTCCCATGTAAAAAAGACTGGGGGTCAGTGCTAATTTATAACAGCTTTGACAGTTCACCTCAGTCCTAATTTACAGCACTGGGTCCACACAGCTTTACCAGTTCACTTAGGCCCAGATCCTAATTTGCAGCACTGCCTGTTATTCCCAGGACTGGTCTCCCAATCACTTCAATCCTAAATTATTGCACCCCTTTATCCCACTCCGGGGCAGCTGATGGGGTTAGTCGGTGAGGTTTACAAAGCGCTACCTCTCTGGTATTAGGGGATCATCGGGGTCATCTGAATGGCCACCTAACCAGGAGGCACTCGGCAGTGGAGGACACTAGGCCACTCTAATGGGGTGGGATGGGCTAACCCCAAAGGATTATGGGAAAGCACAACTACCTGGGCCCCAGCTCATCCTCACTGCGCCAGACGAAGTCTCCAAACTTCTCGTAGTGCGCGTTGTAGTGGTGCTGGACTCGGAAGAGCATGGACGCGGAGACCTCCATCAGCGTGTTGTAGGCCGTTTGCTGCTCCTTCCCACTGGTGTAGCCATTGTAGAGGTTGTAGATTTTGTCAGCTATCTCTGAAAAGGAGCAGGGGGAGGAGGAGTTTACAAGGGAATGGAAGGCACAGGGAGTGCGGGAAGGAAAAACCAGCCAGTGGGGCTGACGTTGGGGGACTGGGGTGGCTGTCTCACCCACAGCCGCTTGGACGTTGGCTTTGGAGCACAGCCATCTATCTGGGCAGCTGTACCCGACTGAGGCCCCAATCCTGCTAGTGGCCCCACATGGCTGGAACCCAGAGTCCCCACGGAGCCCCAGTGACTTCAACAACTCCAAGTGGGTGCAGGGAGTCTGCCCCTGCAGAACCCTTTGCAGGATCAGGGCTTGACACCTCAACTGTGCCAACCAATGCCTGCCACCTCCCATTCAATGGTGCCCTCTCTAAACCTCTGCGGCCAGCCCCAGTCAGCCAAAACTCCACAGCTGCTGAGTGGGAGCTGGGGAATAGTAATGCACAGAGGGAAGGAGATGCTAGAATACCAGGCACAAAAGCCTAAAGTACCTGTACTGCTAACCTATACCTCCAGAGCTGGGAAGCACTGCTGTAGAGGGAACTGCTAGCTCAAACATTAGGCACTATGGGCCTGATTTTCAAGAGCTCAGCTCTCCATCAGAGTACATCTTCACTGCAGAATTAACTCAGGCTCTTACTTGGGTGTTGCCCCTAACATCCCCATACAGAGCCCTCTCGCGCGAGTTGGCTGGTGTTTTCAAAGCAGGCTCTCTGGCTTGCCTGGGGTAGAGCTCAGGTGCTGTTTTCTGTCGGGCTCGTCATCTGCCCACTCTCTGCGGCAAGAACACCGGCTAAACACTCGAGTGCTGCCAGCCCTCCAGTGCTTTCCCACCAATGCCCCAAGTCCTCCCACAATTCGCTGGGAAAGCATCAAAGAGCGGCTCAGCTTACAACAGCACAAAAGAAGCCCCCAGAAGTCCGAAGCGACACACATATGGGGGCGTGCAGCGGCAGTGAGGGTGCCGTTACTCAGGGCACAGGTGCCGACTTTCATTTTTCTGGGTGTGTGCTCATCCCCCTTCTGCCCGCCGCCCGCACTCCACCTCTTCCCCCAAGGCCACACCCTTGCTCCGCCTCTTCCCACCACCGCTCCGCCTCCTCCCCCAGTGCCCCGCCCTCGCTCCACCTCTTTCTGCCCCCACTCCGCCCTCTCCCTCCTGTGCCTCCTGCCTGCCGCCGAACAGCTGATTGGCAGGTGGCTGGTGGGTGCTGAACACCCACTATTTTTTTTCAGGGCTGGAGCACCCACAGAGTCGGCACCTATGATTCAGGGGTGGCTTTGCCATGTGGTGCTCTCACCAGGGGGAGGCTAACTAGGTGCCGATCACCCACGTTAACTCCGAAGACACACCCTGACACACCTAAATAAGGGGTTGACTTGTCACAAGGGCTTAGAATGTTGTGTGCATGCTGAGAGCTGAGCTCTTTGGGAAATCGGGCCCCATGGGGGGGATTGCAGGTGGGGGGAGGGAATATGAGAGGGTTTGGGGTGTTTTTTTTCCCCGTGAACATTATCAATAATAAGAAAAGCAAGTTAGGCAGAAATGCAGAGAGTCATCATTAAAAATGACATAAGCATAATCCCTGGCTCTTATCTCGCACTTTTCATTAGTAGATCACAAAGTGCTTTCCAAAAGAGGTCGGTATCATTGTCTCCTTTTTACAGATGGGGTTTCTGGCAGAGCCCCTCAACCTTTTTTGAATAAAAAGGGTTTCTTTCTGTGGTGTTGGGGGAAAATGGCCTTTCCTCTCCTGGAAATCGGGGGGGAGGGGGAGATGCAGAATCCCCCCCCCCCCTTATATTGGATACATAATTTTATTGAAAGAAATTGTTAAACATATTTTGTTTTCTGAAAACTGGGTTTTTCATTAAAAGAAAAAAAATATAATAATGTACATTGTGTTTCTGATAAAAAAAAGTGAACCGTTTTGAAAATATCACTACCACAAAAAGGGACCTGTTTCAAACCCTAAAAACTGAAATCAACTTCCAAATTTTGGACATTTGTATTACTTCTCCCCCCCTCCTCACCCCCCTCAGCTGTAGCCCCAAGCCAGGTCCCTTTGTACAGTAACACAGTGGTTTTCAACCTGGGGCCCGCAGACTATGTTCTAAGGGCTGGTCTACACTGGGGGGGGAGGGAGGGATCGATCTAAGATACGCAACTTCAGCTACGCGAATAGCGTAGCTGAAGTCAAAGTATCTTAGATCGAATTACCTGGGGTCCACACGGCGCGGGATCGACGGCCGCGGCTCCCCCGTCGACTGCGCTACCGCCGCTCGCTCTGGTGGAGTTCCGGAGTCGACAGTGAGCGCGTTCGGGGATCGATATATATATATCGATCCCGGATAAATCAATTGCTACCCCCCGATACGGCGGGTAGTGAAGACGTACCCTAAGATTTCCAAAGGGGTCCGCGCCTCTAGTCAAAATTTTATAGGGGTCCGTAAATGGAAAAAAGGTGGCAAACCCCTGCACTAACAGATCACACACATGAGACAGACTGTGAGCTTTTTGATCATGCATGCACTCTGCATGTCCCTGTTTGGCTCTTCATTCTCTTACTGCTATTCAGAACAGTCTGGCTATTCCAGCTTCATCCCTTGTTCTTTCTCTCTCAGGGCTTGTCTACCCAGGGACACCCAAGAAAGCGAATCCAAATTATTTTTTAAAGTGGATTAGTTAAACCAAATTAAATCCCCGTGTCGATGCTGTCATTCAAATGAATTAAGCAAAAATCGAATGTAGGCCACTTTAATACTGAATTTCAATTAACTTTCACAAGTGTCCTCGTGTAGACAAGCCCTCACTCTCCTTTAACGTCTCCTTCAGTATCTCTCTCCCCTTCCCTTACTGTTGTTGCTTTTCTTTTCTCTCTCATCTCCGCTGCATCATTGGTAGCATGGCAATCAGCCATGTCTCTGAGGACAGTGGACACGGGAAGTGGGAAAAAGGAGAGATTAACAGGAGAGCTCTCCCAGGTCTGGGAGCACGGGAATGAGGAGACTGAACTCTTACCTTCTGCCTTGCTGTCATCCACCAGTGGGCAGGCTGTTCTCAGGGTGACCGTGCTCAGCTCTGAATGCCTCCCTCGGGTGTCCACAGCATAGAGGGTAAATCTGGAAGGCAGAGAGAATGTTAGCCGCCACCCCAGCTCCGCGACGCTACATGGACAAGGCTCCAAAAGAGCAATGAACTGTTCGGTCCAAGTTCGTTGCGTCCACTTCTGGCAGCTTGAGTGGGCGAGAAGAGAACAGCAGAATTTATAATGAAGAGGACAAAGAAGGAAAGCTGCCAAGGCCTCACTGCATCTGTGCAAAGGCACTACGGTCTGTGGGCTGCCTTGTCCTGCTCACTGCATCTACACAGGGGCACTGGAGAGGTGTCCCGCTGCACTGCAGCTGTATAAAGCCACTGTCATCTAGGGGGGCTGCTTCCCCTGCCGCACTGCAACTGCGCCAGGACACTAGTTTCTGCGAGTACACTGCCTCTATCTCCATCCTTAAGTAACAGAGGTTGCAATTCCTCTCTTAAATGCCCAAACAGGTGGCAGCAGCAGCTTGCATGCATCCTTTGAATAGACCCGGAGGTTGTCTTTTCTCCATTCTCTAGCCAGAGAGGGGTTGGGAACGGCTGAGAGTGTTGATTTCACACTTGAAACTAATGGAGAGCATCTGACAGGAAAATACGGCGCTTGTGCTTGGAAGAATCTTTGATCAAACAGGCCCTGGGCCTTTTTTTTTTTTTGGCTTTGAGCAACGAGTGTCCTGATCAGAGGTTTACAGCGTAAAACACAGAGAGCGTCTTATCAGCTGGGGATCGGGTAAATCCCAGCATAATCCTCCGCGCGGCTCCCAGTGGGCATCTTTCCATATTTATCCACTCAGAGCCAGGCAGTGCAACGCGCGTCTCCTGGGCTGGCTTTGACAAAGTGCAGGAGCTTACCTGGCCGCCTTGGAGGTCTGAGACACCCAGTGACGGGGCACCCGCGGACTGAAGCCAGATCGGGCCACTAAATAGCACAGCCCAGCTTATTATCTTAACGTCAAACCCAACGGCTCTCGGGGGAGAGTGAAAATTGTTCTTTTAAAAGCTGTTGAAGCTTAAGTGGGATCCGGACTGTGCTGTGGTCCAAGTCCATAGCATCCTTGGCTGTGTCAGAAGTAACATCCCCACGGACGCGCTCGCTACCATACGGGCACATCTAGATCGCTGCTGAAGGGGCAATTTCCAGCCTGGGCGGATGTACAGGCACGAGCTGTGACTGAGCTAGTGTGCTGCAAATAGCAGCGTAGCTGCGGTGCCACCGGCGGCGGTACAGGCTGGTGACCTGAATACATACCAGGGGTCTCAGATAGGTTTGTGCTCAGATGCCTAAGCATGCTGCTCTGACCACGCTGCTCTGGCTAGCCACGCCGCCCTGGCCACGCTTCTCTGGCTAGCCACGCCGTCCTGGCCATGCTGCTCTGACTAGCCACACCGCCCTGGCCACGCTTCTCTGGCTAGCCACGCCGCCCCGGCCACGCTGCTCTGGCTAGCCACGCTGCTCTGACCACGCTGCTCTGACTAGCCACGCCACCCTGGCCACGCTTCTCTGGCTAGCCACGCCGTCCAGGCCATGCTGCTCTGACTAGCCATACCGCCCTGGCCACGCTTCTCTGGTCACACTGCTCTGACTAGCCACACCGCCCTGGCCATGCTGCTCTGACTAGCCACACCGCCCTGGCCATGCTGCTCTGGCTAGCCACGCCACCCTGGCCACGCTTCTCTGGCTAGCCACACCATCCTGGCCATGCTGCTCTGACTAGCCACGCTGCTCTGGCCACGCTGCTCTGACTAGCCACGCTGCCCTGGCCACGCTTCTCTGGCTAGCCACGCCGCCCCGGCCACGCTGCTCTGGCTAGCCATGCCGCCCCGGCCACG